ATAATTTGAGTTTTTTTTTTTTTTTTTTTTGGTACTGGGGATTGAACTCAGGACCTTGTGCTTGCGAGGGAGGCAGCAGAACCATTGAGCTAAATACCCGGCCCCCCAGTTAAGTAGAATTTCAGATAAACAACAAATGATTATTTTTGTATTAAAGTACCCTAAATACGGCATAGGGCGTACTTAGTGCAAAAAAGTTTCTGTTGTTTTGAAAGTGTAATTCAATTCTCTGTCATGCGTTTTTATTTACTAAGTCTAGAAACAGCCCCAGCTCCCACCAGCAAAATGCTCTTTCTATATAGGAAAATAGGATCAAAGGAAGAGGTTTTAGAATCCTGAGCAACCTGAGAAATTGCCAGATTGGACTGACTTTACCTGAGAGTGACAAGATTGGATTTTTACACTAGGGAGGATCAAGGCTCAGGGCCAGGAATTAAAATTAAGTTATAAAAAAATAAAGACTTTCGATTTAGCATCCTGGAGCTTGTGACTCTGAAATTCACACCTCATGCAACAGAAAGGATGGAAGGAGGGTAAAATTGGGAGCAGAGAGAAGAGATGGAGATGCCAGTGGTTCTGGAAAAAGAGGCAGTGAGGGCCAGGCCAGGAGTAAAGGCAGTGGGACGGACAGAAGTAAGTGGACTCAGAGTATTAGGAGACAAAACTATCCATTACCTGGTGAGTGAATGAATGTTGGGAGTGAAGGACATGGAGAAGCCAGGATGAAAGCCAGGAGTTTGGGCTAGGCAATGGGTAACTTGTAATATGCAGAAGGCTTGAGAATAATGATGAGTTTGAGTTCAGATAACTTGAATTTGGGGAGCCTGAGGGACTGTCCCACTGATACCCCAGAATACAGTTTAGGGGTGGTAGATGAGAACTCGGGGAGGAGGGTCTGGAAATCCAGGCTTGCCTCAAACCAGCAAGGCCACTTTTGCACATTTATGCATTGGCCACCTGCATATTTTCCTAGGAGAGAAGAAAGCCCACTGAGGCAAAAATTTTAAACATCACAGATTAAAAGGAAAACACTGAGTTTAGACAATTAAAAAAATTTTAAAAAGTAGACATAGCAGTTGAGAACGCATCTGGGTTCTAATCTCCATTGGAACGGAAATCTAGAAAACAATTCTCTGAGCCTTTCTTTACTTCCACTACCTCTAGCTCAGCCAAAGAGGGTACCAGCCCCTCAGGCAGCAGCAGTCAAGTGCTTTGGAAATAACCAGTCCCCCATTACATGTAGTCTTGGTAGGATGGGAATTCGAGGATCCCGCAACCACGAGGTGAGCTATGGACTCAAATTAGGTAAGGTGGTCTTCCCCCCAGGATTAGAAAAGCCCAGGCACGCGACACAGGATGGAGGAGGCACTCTGAGGCCGCTTGCTACCTATATCCATTCAACAGATCCGCGTCTTGTCTTTTTCATCTGTACCAGCTTTCCCCTAATTCCACCAGTTGCCAAATATCATTTCAATACATCATTTCTACTTGATTTGGTCAGGACCAGTTTCTGCTGCCTGTGATAAAATAACAATAATGAACTCAGAAGTGGAAGGTCTAAGGTTGTTTCCAGGACACCGTTTAGCTTCGGAACATCCAAAAATACATAACGAGCAACACATTTTTAAATTTCGAGTAATTTTTCCAAGTGGTTTTTCTTCACAGAAAACATTTCAAACAGAAATGTATTGAAAGGGGCTGGGGTTGTAGCTCAGTGGCACCGCACCTGCTTGGCAAGTGCAAGGTTCTGAGGTCCATCCATGATACCATTAAAAAAGAAAAGGTATTTAAATATGCAAATGTAATCATGCTGACATCATCTCT